TGAACATATAGCGTGTTTGGTTTGCATTGGCGCACTTATAACTGTTCATCTTATAGCCTATTGTATTTTGTTTACATTGTCCACTAGTTTGTTTCACCCTTGTGATAGTTTAAATATATCCTTGCATATACCATATAGTATATCTCTTTGCTAGGATATATCACCTTAGCTATATTTCTTATTCTTGCTCTTATCACATTGTATATGTATCTTACAAGAATAATTTATTAGTTAGTTTTTATTGGCATTTAAATCGGATTAGATTAGCATAAACCCTATTCACCCCCAATCTAGGGTTCTTTCCTAGCGACCTTAGGGTCTAACAATTGGTATTAGAGCTTGGTGCTCTTTGATTTAAGGTCTAATCACCTTGAGTTAAAGATCCAAGTTATCTTTTTGTGCTAATCTTGTTTTGATTTTATTTGTATCTTGCTTGCTCATATATACATTATGGATATGCACGGTACACCTTGTTTAGGTTATGCCATCAATATTGCTCCTAGATTAGATAATTTCCCCTATGCCCAATGGTGTATTAGATTTAAACTTTTTGTTCGATCTAGACACTTCGATTTATGGAAAATTATAGATGATGCTTATATTGTGCCTACTTCGAAGAAATCCAAGTGGAATAAAAATGATCATTATATTTTTACCATGAATAAGCTTTTGTTAGAATTTTTACGTAATGCGTTCGATTCATCTATGTCTAACAAGCTTGATTCTTTTGATAGTGCTTACACATTATGGAAACTTATAGAAGCACATCAACGGAATTTGGAGGTGATCCGACAAGATTTGTTTATATATATATATATATACATAGTTATATATACACAATTTAGTTTTGGTATATATAGGTATATGTATACATACATGTTTTTGTTTCCAAGTTTATATAAATATGAAATTATATCTTTCATATTTATTGTTTTGGTTTTTCAAGTTTAAATATGAAACAATTGAATATTTTCAAAGTCTTACATTTTTCTGAATTTATTTGATATTTTTAAACCCAGTTTAAAGTTGAGTTTTTCTATACACTTCAGGTCTGTGCATGTCTAGTCGACTCATTAGTCAACTCATGAGTCGACTCATAAGTTGACTCACGAAGTGCAGCACAGTTGTGATTTTTCTTCTGCTAAGTTGACTTATATAAGGCGACTCATTAGTCGACTCATAAGTCGACTCATGAGTCGACTCATAAGTCGACTTATCAGAGAACCGTTGCACAGTAACGGCTAGTTTTCTGATTTCTTTGTTTATGGGTTTTTGGTCTTTTCCTTGGGTATTTTGCTGAAGTTTTGAGTGGGTATAAATACCCTATTACCTTCAGCTCTTCACACAACTAAGAGAATGTTTTAAGAAAGTTTAACAAGGGCTTAAAGCTTGTTTAAGTTTGTTTAAAGGTGTTTAAGCCTTGTTTAAGAGTTTCGTTTGTGAAGATAATTTCACAAGGGCTTGAGGAGATAATCTTTGGTGTTTGAGCTTCAAATCATCTCTCTCTCACTCTTGTCATTTATTAGAGAAGTTTTCTAAACTCAAGCTTCAAATCATCTCTCTCTCACTCTTGTCATTTATTAGAGAAGTTTTCTAAACTCAATCTAGCTTTACAATTTAGTGTTTGATTATCATTATATTAAGCTAGTGTTTATATTGAGTTTAATTAATTTTATTTATCTCATTGTTACACACACCCACT